TTATTAATTATGTAAATTGATATTAATAACTAAGTTTTTGCAAAAATACAATAAAACCTACTGGAATCTTTCAGAAAACTCCATGAATATTGAGACTATGCTAATCCTATTTCCTATGGGGAAATAAGAAATATAAAAATATGAATATTGCAGAACACATTAAAAGCCTAAGAGCAGGGGCACCTGGGTGGCTCAGTCAGTTAAGCATCCGCCTTCGGCTCAGGTCATGATCTCACGGTGAGTTCGAGCCCCGCATCAGGCGCTGTGCAGACAGCTCAGAGCCTGGAGCCTGCTTCTGATTCTGTGTCTCCCCTTCTCTCTATGCCTCCCCTGCTCACGCTCTGTGTCTCTCTGTCTCTCAGTAATAAATTAACGTTAAAAAAATTTAAAAAAAAAGCCTAAGAGCAGAAAATATGTATTTACATATGTAAAACCATAATAATGTAAACAGTACATTTTAAGTGGTTTAAATTCTACAGGAGCACTAAATGGAAGGTAATCTAATCTATTCCGACAGTATAGGCAGGAGGCTGAAGGGCTCACAGAAACTCCGTTGCTTTATTATCATCAGCAACAGTCACATAAAATTTTAACACGCTGGAGCCAGATTGCCTGCGTGTAAATCCCAGCTCTACCACTTACTAACTCGAAGAGACCTTGACTAAGTGATGTAACCTCTCTATGCCTAACTTCTTCATCTGTAAACTGAAGATAATACCATCTATCTATCTCATAGGATTATCATGAGGATTTAGGGAGTGAATCTCCACATAACATTTAGAACAGCGGCTGGCACAGACTAACTACTGTATAAGTATTCAAATAGTCTATGCACATAAAAAGGCAGTGAAAAGTGAAACCCAATCCTAAATCACAAGCCAATGAAAAGTCTTACAAAGATAATGAATAGGCCCTTTCCATCCTAGCATCTCTACAACTGCCAACATTCCTGATGACATCTTGTCATATTTAGAAACATAATATCAGATCACTATCATCTCAGGGTAAGAAGCTAACAATTGCTTATATAGAGCAGAATAAACCCAAAGTGCTTGAAAATAAATGAATGTAGAAGGAGAAATCATTTCCATTTACTACTCTGGAATCCTTCTATTTCCCCAGAGATGAGTTCCATTCAGTAAGTATTTCAGCACCTTTATTTTTTGCATATCAAGAAAAAACAGTATCCTTCTTTTTAACTTCCTATAATTCCTTATATCAAAAAAGAGTTCACGTTAAAAATAAGGTAGGGGGATGTTTGATAATTTACTCTCCACTGCCAGTAACTTGTGCTTTTAATTCAATGAATCCAGACCGTATTTAAAAATAAAATATAATGTCTGTGAGAACTTTGGAAAAGACCCCTGTGAAACCCCCACACACAGAAATCCATTTGGTAATAGCATTTAAAAGCTCATGGATCCCTAAGGAACCAGGGAACTTGTACCTTGAATATCCTTTTGAGTAGAGAAGAGTAACAGATGTGAAATGAGGGTGTAGAACAATGTCTGTACTGTATGTAAGAGTAGACCAGCAAAATGATATATGGCGATGTTTTCTTTCCCTTGTTTCATTCATGTGGAGTGATCCCAATAATGAAAGGTTTCTTTAGCCCATCTGTTCAGCAATTTATATATTCAGAATTTGATCCCTGTGTCTCTGCTTTTTCAGGTTCACAGTCCAACCTCGTATCTCTGCCGACCTGATGCAACCACTCCTGCCTCCTTTCCTCCAATTTTTACAAAGGTCTGACATCTGCAAGTCTCATTCTCTGTGTTTGCTTTGGTCCTGAAATTCCATTCACATGGATTCACATGTGGCTTCATGTGGCAGTCTTTAAAAATGAAAACGAACAGATCAGTAGGCTGTCATGGTTACCTTTGGGACTAAATAGGTATTTACCGAAAAATTGCTGGGTGATTATAATCTTGTGAAGGGTCTAAAAAATGTGGGCATGGTCAGTGACCTGATAGAGCTTACAATAGAGTGGGAAAGCCAAGACAGGTGGGAAAAAAGACAAAATGCTGTGTTTGAAATTGTTTGGGAGAAACAACAAGTTTTATAGAAATAAAAAAAATGGGTAATAATTCAGTTTGTTCTAAGTTTGTGTTTTGCCTTGCCAAGCTGAATGACCTCCATTTCATTTGTCAACTGCTCAACTCAGAAATGGTTCCATGTAGCATATCTTCTCTCTCTTTCTTTGTTTTTTTTTTTTTTGTCTTTGTTTTGTTTTGAGAAAATTATAAACCTTTATTGAAAGACCTCTAAAAAGGCCTAAATAAGTGAAGAGAAATACCATGTCTGTGGACTGGAAAATGGTCAAGAAATCATGACTCCCAGATTAATCTGTAAATTTAATGAATCTAGTTGAAATTCTAACATGTTCCTTGTTTCATTTGTTTGTTTGAATTAGAACTTGGCAATTTGACTCTAAGATAAACCCAAAAATAGCCAGGGTACTGCTGAAGAAGGAAAATCATATGATGGCAAGGAAGGCAGGAGATTTGTCCTTGGAGATGTCAAGACTTTGTAAAAATATAGTAGTTAGGACAGTATGGTGCTGGCATAAGACTAGACAAATTGACAGGTAATCAGAACAGAGCCCATAAAGACACTCCAGTATTTACAGAAACCTGCAGATCACTGGGTAAAGAATGAATCCCTCAGCAGAGATAAAATATATATATATATATTGGACTCCTATTTCATACTTTTTACAAAAGTCTACTCCCAGTAAACTAAAGACAAATGTAAAGAGCAAATCCATAAAACATGCAAGGCAGTGGAGAAGAGCATCTTGCTTGTCTTCTTGGGGGGAATGATTTTTTTTTTCTTCTAAGCCAGCCTGAATCCAGCTTTATTAAAGATCTTTCCATAAACAATATTTACTTTAAGACATGGCAACAAATGATATTTGACAACAACTTTGAAAGCCCCCTCCTGGATACGGGGCGCCTGGGTGGCGCCATGATACGTTAGCGTCGACTCGTTAGCCGCCAGGTCCACTTCAGGTCACGCGATCTCATCTGGGTCGTGAGTTGAGTTGAGCTGCCCTGTTGTCAGGCTCTGGCTCATGGCTCAGAGCCTGGAGCCTGTTCGATTCTGTGTCTCCCTCTCTCTCTGCCCCTCCCCCGTTCATGCTCTGTCTCTCTCTGTCCCAAAAATAAATAAACATTGAAAAAAAAAATTAAAAAAAAAAAAAAAAGCCCCCTCCTGGATAGATTACAAAAAGAAAAAAAAAAAAAATTTAACAAAATGAAACATGCGCCACTCTAGTAGTCCATGAAGTTGTCCTTCATTGCTTAGAATAGCACGTGTTACCAAGGTGTGGATAATTCAGGTGCTGTGTGACTTTAGAGGTTTTTGAAAACAGCTTCACCAGATCATCACCAGGAAATCTGTTATCTGCTGTATTGCTACCCAAGACACGGCTGATTTTGAGGGTGTCAATGCACCTCTTGATTTAAGTAGATAAAGAAGATGTGAGGTTTTGCTTTCCCTCCTCATGGGGCTTCACCACTGGGGCCTGGCATACAGAGATGTTAGGGAATTCCTCCTGGGCACCAAGAGAAATCCTTGAAAACTAGACACAAAACCTTGTTCCTCCTGAATCAGTGACATATTAGTGGTATATCCCCTTTCTCCAGAAGAAAACCATGAACCATACTGTGTGCCAAACACACAGCGTAGTAAAAAGAAACATAAAACAAACTTCTATATTTTTATAAAGGAATTCTATATTTTTATAAAGGAATCACAAACTATGGAGTGACTGAAAGCATAGAGCACCCCTCCCTGGGCATTTTCGGTGCCTTTTACCCTCTGTGTCTAGACTGTAGACCATCTCTGTTCTCTGTAGGATTGCTTTCTTCCTTCCTTGCATTTGCTTTCCCCTTTATCCCTTTGGGCATCTTTTCTCCCTGCTTTGCTGGGTCCTTTTTGGGCCTGAGCTTTGGTTTTGGAGGGGCAGGTGTAGAAAATAAATCTGCTGATCTCCTTTGTATCTCAAACTAGCTTTCCCTTTGTCACCCTTAGCATCTTTGGGGGCATGATGGTGACAGTGAACGCCAGGTGGGCTTTGACAGTTTAAGAGGTGCCTCCATCTATTTCCTGCTACTACTCTGGTAAAGATTCCCAGGTTTCGCAGCTGGTCAGAGGCAGAGCAGCACTTCTGCCTGTGGGCCACCGGGCTTCGCTTGGGACGGCAGAGCTGGCATGGACTGTGGGACTTTGGGCGGTAGGGACACATGAGAGACTGGGAGAGCAGCTGGCCTCATGTGGCATTTCTTGCTAAATAGTTGGACCCCTTCAAGGAATTGCAATATCAGGTGGGCTTGGTATATGACATGAGATACCCTTATATGGACCTGAAACACATTCAGGAGTCCCAAAGTTTACCGAGTGGTGGTGCAGATTACCAAGCACAACTTCTGAATGCAGTCTCCTTCAGTGCTCCTCATCATGTTCCTGCAGGTTCTCCTAGTGGCTCATTCTGCCTGGCTGTGGCTTTTCTCAAGATAAAAATGTTTGCTCCAGGGCGCCTGGGTGACTCAGTTGGTTAAGCATCCGACTCTTGGTTTTGGCTCAGGTCATGATCCTATAGTTGGGGAGTTCGCGCTCCCCATCAGGCTCTGTGCTGACAGTGTGGAGCCTGCTTGGGATTCTCTCTGCCTCTCTCTCCACCCCTGCCCCCCTCTCTATTTCTCAGCATAAATAAATTAAAAACAGAAAAAAAGTTTGCTCCAGGTGGAATCAAATTGTGATCCTAACTGGAGTTTTGACTCTTCAGGTCCTTGGCATCCTGCCCATTTTCCCTATCTCTGACTCTCCAAAGTTTGAACAAAACACACAATCCTAATAAATCAGAGTCTCCTTTGGTGCCTGAAAGGTCAAATATGAAACATATTTGTGTACCCTTTGAAATCTACCACAAGCAATTTCCTGGACAAGCCTGGAAGTGTTTAATAATCCACACAACCTGGAGCCTGTGAGCAGCACTTTGCCTGCTGTGGTTCATTAAATTGGCTCTTCTCTGGACCCAATCACAAAGTGAAAAAGTCCATTTAAAACCAGAGATTTCCTACATTAAAAAAAAGGGGGGGGGTTGAAGAATGCAGTCAGAAGTAGTTAATAATCTTAACCTTTTTACTTAAAAAAGGCATTCTTGTTAACTACCGAAATTATCAAATGCCTTCTCCGACTTAACACTAGATTCTCATAGTTCCTCTGCCAACCTCATCAACTTTGAGAATTTCCTTAGAGCTCTAACACACTCACCGAAGGCCATTTGCCACAACACTTGTTTTTCCCAACAGGCCATTTGTCATCCCTTCAGATAATCCTAAGTAAATAATAAACCGAAAAGACCACACAACTTCTTGATGTAAGTTTGTTTGCTTTTGGTTGATGTACAGGTGAATTGCTTTTTCATATTTGAATTATTTTAAGACTTCTATATGACCTATGTAAGATCTCATGCTGCGAAGTCAGAAGTTTAAAAAGTCAAAAAGTTTAGTTAAAAAGTCAAAAGGTAAGTTTAAGCCATTGCTAGGTCCTCCTGGAGAAAGAAGGTAGAGAACCTATGGAAGAAGACTGGGCATCTTTTGATATTTAATAACAAGTATAAAAGCTTTTACCTCTTTGCATCTGTGAAGCCAAATTAACTTCTAATCCGTCGGACTGTAAAAATGTCCTGGTCTGGAATTGGAGTGGGGTCCGGGGCAGCGAGGGTAATTGCAAAGGAAGAGGAAATGAAGGTCATGAAGGGAGATGTACTATGGGTTTTATTGTTTTACTCAGAACTTTAAAATGAGAAAATCCCCAAGCCCCTTGTGTTAATAAACCATGTTAATAAACCTGATGTAGGAAACCCATTGGCAAAGGTGTGTTGGGGGGTGGGGGGGGGAGTACATGGAAAGTTGGAGCATGTGAAAACAAACGTATGCCTTTTTTTTCCTTCCTGTCTGGTTTTCCCAGGAATCTACGTTCATATGAAATATAATGGTTTGGGGAAGTTTGCATTCCACCAGCTGACTCTTAAATGTAGATAAAGGTAACAGGCATTACCATAAAATTCCATAAATATGAAGTGGCAATAAATTTGCAGAGAGACACGAAGTTTCCAGAGGCCCAGTAGTAAACCCTACTAATGTCATTACATGGAGATTATGAAAAGCTGACAACCAATGGGTTTAAAGGTGTTTCTTTTTATCTGAGTTAGTGGTAATTATCTTATGATGCAAGTTTTGCCTTTTTTTTTTTTTTTTTTTTTTCCGGGAAGCTTTGGAAGCGTTATTGTCTGTTGTGAAATTGTGGACATGTGCACCAGTCTAACAGGGAGTGTTTTCCTTGAATTTTAGGAACTGCAAAACATAGCTGCATCAGAGGGTCAGGTGGTGGTACTGGAGTGCCGGGTCCGAGGAGCGCCCCCTTTGCAGGTCAAGTGGTTCCGACAAGGGAGTGAAATCCAAGACTCTCCAGACTTCAGAATTCTACAGAAAAGTAAGGAGAGGTGCCCATTCTCCCACATTCATTCATTTTCTTCCCTCAAGCTTCCAAAAAACCAAGAAGGGTTTAGTCATTTGGATGAATTGGTTTCTATTTTTGGGAGAGTACTAAGACCAGATAACCTGCAAATATGTGGGGTCCAGTGTATTTAAGCAGTGGTGGTCACTTGTGTAACCCTTTGAAAGTCTAATGAAAGTTGTATATACGTCAGAAAATGTTACAACTTGTGAACTCAAAGTAGGGCAAATAATTTGAGGAGGAGTATAAGCCTCCTATAAGCCCCTCTATGGATTGTGGTTTATAAAACTTCCTAGTATAAGCTGTTTGTTACTGGTGGAATTTGGGTTTCTGTATTTCTAGAAATATAAATTGATCTATCACTTTACTCTTTTGTACTGTGGAGTTCCCTATATTCTGTAGACATGTCCTAGACAGAGAAAAGGTAGGTGGATTTATTATTAATGGAATCCCATTCTAATACTCTGTTTTGATTTATTTTTTCCTCATGTGGCAAACAGAACCTAGATCTACAGCTGAACCTGGTAAGAAGCTTTTTCTTTTTGTTCGTTGGTAACGTATCTTTGGGGTTTCAATAGTTCTTTGTCTCAGTTTTAAAGCCATAAGCAGAACCATGTTTTTGCAGTTCGCTGGAAATACGAAACCCCCTTAAAGACAATATCTTCTTTATCATGGGGTGTGTCCACTGCATTTTACATCAACTTCTTTATTAGTAAAACATTAAGTTCCATTCAGACAAGAAGGTCAAGCTCAGTGGTTTAAGGCTTTTTTAAATATAGTCTTTTATATTCAGAAAGCAAAGCAAGTTAATAAAAAAAAAATCGTCCTAAAATTCCAGTAGAAAAGAACCATCTGCTACATACTTTCACTAACCAAAGCCCAGGAACAGCTCGACCCTCCAGCTTAGAAATGCGTCTCACATGAGAGCAGTCCAGAGATGTAAGCAAAACTGACCACCGGTATTTCTCATTTATGTAGCCTGAGCCATAAACTTGTACAGTTCTCCCAGCATGAAGAAAGTCATCTTGCCCTAGGATCTCTCTTAATTACCGGGTCATTTGACCTCATCAGAGTGCTATGTTATCCGGAAGCGCCAGATCCAACTCTTCTGCTTCAGACTTCGTGGATATTTATGACTCCTCATGAACTAAAACAACATTTGAAAAAGAAACAATAATGTTTCTCTGTGTATTTTACAGGACGCCCACCTCAAGAGTACTTTCTTTTGTGTTTCTCCCTTTGGCAAAATTACAGTTTTCCTTACTCCTTGCCAAAGGTTGAAAAGCCGATTTGTGCTTTTCTCCAGCTTTGAGCAGCTTCTGCCATCATGTCCCTTAGGAGCCATGGCTTTGCTCTGTCCCTTCTTTGACAACTTGAAAGTTCTCAGTGGGCTACTGCAGGTCAGGTTACTATGGTTAGTCCCGGACCTCTCACATCCGAGCATTGGGCCATTAAAAGTAGGATGTGATCCTTTTAGGATCCAAAGGTTAAAGGGTACTGAGTAGCATCCTTAAGGAACAATTGGAATTGATCTAGTGCCTTCTTGTCATGATTACAACCAGAGATGTTGCCCCACTTAATGTGTCAGTCACCACACCAAATACTGTAGTCACTTTCCAAAACATAGAAATAGACAACTTCATATTCTGTGATAGGTCTTTATATAAAATTGCATCTTGGGGCACCTGGGTGGCTCAGTTTGGTAAGCGTCCGACTTCGGCTCAGGTCATGATCTTGCTGTTCGTAGGCCCCATGTTGGGCTCTGTGCTGACAGCTCAGAGCCTGGAGCCTGCTTCAGACTCTGTGTCTCCCTCTCTCTCCACCCCTCCCCTGCTCACACTCTGTCTCTCTCAAAATAAATACTAAAAAATTACAAATTAAAAAATTGCATCTTGCTGGTTCCCTGATACATGGAACTTCTGAGACTCCATCTGCTGCATGAGCTAAGATGTTAGGGCACACTTGTGTTTACTATTTTAAATAGACTTATTGATAGATATAAAAGTAGGAGCCAGATACCTCTTTATCTACAAAAAACGTTGATGTGAAAAAGTCACGGGCAGTTTATATCTTACGATACTTTATGTGCAAATAAAACTGAAGTTTTGAGCCACAAATTCTAAAAGCATTATTACTGGAACGGATTACTGCTTTTGATGTTGTGTTGTGGATTTTGTGCAAATTCGTGCAATTCTTTTTCATCATGTTGTTATCCCTTGTCGTTACCTACAGAGGTGATGATGATTTATGAGATATCTTCCATGATCTGTGTTGGAAATTCATAAACTAACCATCATCTGAAAACTCATAACACTGGTTAGAAGCTGCATAGTTTAGTTTCTGAGTACATATGTATTTGGAAATTGAAAATACTCAATATATTGGCTAAGAAGGAATAAATTTGGGTGTGGAGGGAGAACAGAAATGTCTGCTACCACCCCCCCCCCTTTTCCATCCTCTTCCCTATTATCCCTCAAACTACAAACTTTTTCAATTATGATTTTCTGTTTTGCTTCTAGCACAATCATGATTTGATCATGATTATTTAATAAAATTAGTTCTCAGCTTGGTGGATAAAATGACCTCTAGACATACATCGGTGCCTTTTTAACATGGCAAAATCATGAAGAAAAGAGCAAGATAATGAGGGGAACTTCCTTTTAAACTGCATATCCTAGCAATATAAGTTTCTCCTTTCATGTTCACTGAATTTTCTTATTTTTCCCCCTTTAGTTAGATCTGGAAGCATTTAAGAAAACAGGGGTGCCTGGGTGGTGCAGTTGTTGAGTGTCCAACTCTTGATTTTGGCTCAGGTCATGATCCCAGAGTCGTGAGATTGAGCCTACTTAAGACTGTCTGTCTCCCTCTCCCTCTCCCCCTCCCCTTCTCACAATGTCCCTCTCTCTCTCTCAGAAAGAAAGAGAGAGAGAGAGAGAGAGAGAGAAAGAAAGAGAAAATGGACTCTTCCATTCTAAGCACAATAATAGAATTTGCTGAGAACAAATATATCTTGGTACAGAAATATGTCAACGAAATCTGTCAATATAAGAAAAAAGGGGTGTCTGGATGGCTCAGTTGGTTAAGCATCCAACTTCGGTTCAGGTCATGATCTCGTGGTCCGTGGGTTCGAGCCCTGCATTGGCCTTTGGGCTGACAGCTCAGAGCTTCAAGCCTGCTTCGGAGTCTGTGACTCCCTCTCTCTCTTCCCCTCTCTTGGTTATTTGTTCTTTCGTTCATTCTTTCTCTCTCTCTCTCTCTCGAAGGTAAATAAACATTAAAAAAATAATATAAAAAAAAACTTGTATACAGTCAGCAGCTATTAAAAAACAAAACCCGTGTGGCAGTGGCTCATTTGGTTAAGTTTCTGACTTTGATTTTGGCTCAGGTCATGATCTCAAGGTTCATGAGTTCAAGCCCTGCATCTGGCTCTGTGCCGACCACCTGGAGCCTGCTTGGGATTCTCTTTTTCTCCCTGCCCTTCCCCTGCTGTCTCTGCCCTTCCCCCCTTCTCTCTCTCAAAATAAACATTAAAAACACACACACACACACACACACACACACACACACACACACACACACAGCTAGTTTTCCCTGAACCGATAATTTCTCCACAATTATATTTATTACATTACTAGAATTGCTCATTTCTCTTTTATGCCAGAGCATTAAAATGCTCTCCATCAGGGAATCTACAATAGGCATGTAGTGTCAAATAAAATTCATGATCATATTTTTTAAACAAAAACCCTTTAAACAAATGAATTCAAGTGGACTGCTTCTGTGAGCTGCTGCTATGAGAACTTCAGAATAAGCAAATGTTAAAATATAATTTCTATTTAAACAGTATTTTGGCATGCCTGAAAAAACTAAGTATGATTCTGATTCTTTTACTAGTAGCCAATTGTTTTCCTTACCCTGAGCTTAAAGTTGACCATCGACATTGTTGGGGGAAAAAAACCCAAAAGATATTTTGAACTGCTTACTTTCCTTAAATGACCTGATTGGCTATCCATTAGGCCACTGAACTATTCAACTGTATAAAGTGGATGCAGGAACTGACTTCCCTGATCACCGTTTTTTAGCCACTGTTTAAATGGAAAGCAGAAAAACAGACATGACTACAGTACATCTGAGGAAAGAGACAGATTTTATAAGACTAGGCCAGTGATGTTTTCCGAATGCTAAAACATAAATAGTCTTTGAAATTCAGGAACATATCTGAGCATTTGGGTTTTATTACCCTCTCTTCCTACTCTCCAGTTCTCTGACACATTCACTCTTGCTCTCTCCTCCCTAGTTGGTGCTCAATCTCTTTTCCTCTCTGCTTTTCCCTGCTTCATTCTTTTTATCTCTTTATGCTTCTTCCCTTTTAAAATCATGTGTTAGAGCTCTAGAAATGAAATTCACTAGTACCTAGATATAGCCCCATTAGGGATTAGATATTCAGATAAAAAAAGGAACCACCAGATTCTCTCCTAATGCATTTAAGAGACTGAAACAGGTTTTTCTTGTCACTACTGTGTTGTATCTGTCTAATGTGTTTTACACTCCCTTCTCTGTCTAGACAGAAGTCGGCTTGCATCACAAATCTTTTCAGACTGTTTTGTGAATTAATAGCTAGTCAGCTTACTTAAGACCAACATCCGTTTGTCATATTACCTGCTCTGGCCTCTTTCCTTGACATTCTGACTTTATACTGATTGAATCCTTCAAAGACTAGTCTGGGGTGGAGGTGGTGTGGAGGGCACAGAACACTCATTTGACAGCTGTTAATACTCAGGCCCTTACTCAGCTGTCTGGACATAGCCACAAACTGTATTGAGTTACTTCTATAGCATTGTCTGGTGGTATGCGAAATTAAAAATCCCGTGTCTTGCTGGCTGGGAAGTTACACTTATAAAAATATGATGCCTTGTACTTTCAGTATAAATCTCTGCTGACCAAATGCCACCCATCATCTTAGATCTTCTATAATAGAATCCATGTTTTGATTCTGTGATTCAGAATGTGAAGTTAATTATATTTGTTAGATGTACTAAGGTGCTGAGTTGTAGGACAGCAATGGTAAAGATGTTTGAGATCCCAGTAGATTATACATAGTTAAGAGCTTAAAGGTTAAACAAAGTTTAAACAAAAGTGGATTGTGTGAAACCTGTGATTCTCAAACTGTGTGACGAGGTGCCCTGGGGCACCACACAGATTGACAGAGGTACTGTAATGTTTGAAAATTTTAATGCAAGTACAATGATACTCAGCATTTGATAGACACAGCTATTAGCTTGAAACAGTTCAGGGTTTCAACATGAGGTCACTCCACATTCTTTTCTATGACATCATATCTATGTGAAACTGCGTTTTTGATGTGTACATGTGCTAAACAAGTAAGTGCCACATGAAAATCAATGTGGAACATGAAATGAGGCTGGCTGTGTCCCATCTGATCTCAAGAGTTCTGCAGTACCCAACAGATGCATGCATTCATTAGTTAGTAATTGTGGTTATTTAAGAATAAAATAATATTTTT